ATTTGGAGGTAAATAAAACACCGAAACCCGGCAAATAAATAGGCGGTCGAATTTTTAGAGGGGTCGAAATTTTGGAATTTTCACGGTACTAATTATTCCATTTCAATGAAACTTAGTACAAAGATGCTCTAGGACAATGTACAAACCTAATTAGTTTGGGGTGTAAAAATCTGTTCATATTAATTCCCTAATAAGCATAATAATTCATAATTTTTTGGTTCTAATCACATTTCAATTAAACTTGGAGACATAGATTTTCTGTTACATTGCGCAGACCTCATTAGTTTTACACTCAAATCTGGTCATATTAATTTTCTGATTTTCATAATTAGTTTTCAGCTAAGTAATTTCGAATTATATTTAATGTGTCTCCAATACTCTCAGCACATGGGAGTTCTTTCTAAGCTTTCTTTGATTTTGATGTGTTGCACCCCAGTTGAATGCAGGTTGACATACATCTGTGACTCAAGACTGAAAACCATACCTCCTCTGCAAATATGTTTGCTATACCTAATACATTTTTTTTCTTCAAAAAGTATACCAAAATATCATTCACATTGTAGTCCAGACCTGTTGATTTCTTTTAGTAGAGAGAAACATAAAAATGATGATATTATATAAGAAAGGGCAAGGTCACTAGTGTTAAACTATATTTAATATTTAATTATAACTATGTACTATGCTTTTCATAAATTATAAGTTTTCATTGGCTAGTAATGGCCCTTATGTCTCTCTTTCTCATCAAATTTATTCACTTCAGATTATTCTTGATGATCCATGAATCACTATCATATTAATTGTATTTTACAGTTTCTTTATGTGAATCAATCATTTTCACCTGCACCTGACCAAGAAATTGGAAATGTGTTTGAAGTAAGTAACTTTAAAATTCTAACGCCTGTGTAGATGATTTTGTGTCATGTGATCTGTTATTTTAGACTACACAACAGTAACTCCAATGTGGTCTTGTGATATTCTGCGCATATTACCGGCGATGAATTTAGTTTTAGCTCATGCATATGCAAATGCAAATTAAAAACTGCAACAGTTGTATGTATATGCACAATAATCCTGTGTCAATGTTAAAGGGGCATCTCCAGTTACGCCCAATCTCACAACAAATTTGCTATTTGGATTAAAATCACAATGGATAACAAAAGATAGATTAACATTGTAAACAACATAAATAATAGTGTTCCATGATTCCTTGGTGCAATCCCTGGGTTTGGCAGGTTTCCCTTTAAGAATATTACAGTGAAATGGAAATTCTCTCTTAACAAAAAGACTAAAACTGTTTGTATTTATGCAAATGAATATATAGTTCCACTGTCATGAATAGGATGCTCTAATTTCTGAATTCATTTTATGTTATAAATTGTTACCTCAGTCTTTGATTTGTTGACATGTAGAATAAACTATTGACCTCTCAGCTAATATACCACGATCAACACTCGGCTGTATCTCATTCAATGATGTCTTCTTAGAGGGTCAATCCTTACAAACAATTTCTATGGAAATTCTATAGAAAAAAGGTGACAAATGTCTGTTAGATTCCTAACAAACATTGACTCCCTATTGACACCTTGTTAAGTATTTGTTCAATATGTTCATTTTGCCTATAGTATTATTGAAGGCATAATCGCTGTTACACTTTGTTTTATTCATAGTAAAATACTGTAAGGGGGTTAATTATTCACTGGGTTTTAATTTTATTTATTTCGCTGACTGGAAAATGCACTAAATTAAAACCCAGTGAATATGTAAAATTGAGCATAGAACACATTGTCTAAATGATAAAACCGTGTATTTAAAATCCACTGAATATACCTGAAAAGGTAAATCAGCGAAATATAAACCCAGTGAAAATTAGTCATTTTACAATACCTGGTATAACAAGTCTGATAAACAATTATTTAACTTTGTTTTGTTTTCAGTGTTTTGGCAGCGATGGAAAACTTATACTTCATTACTGCAAAAGCCAAGCATGGGGATGACCAGGATTTTGTGTATATACAATGTTATTTATATTATATGGAATTACTATTTTACCAAGATTGCAATGTAGTGGATACTTCATAGCTGGTCATTGTTTTGAGGTGCCGAATAGTACTGAAGCTTGAATGATTGACTTAAATTATTGGGACAATATTGCATTTGATTGTTTGTGATATGTTTACTTATCTTATCAGTGTACAGTATACTAGTATTTGTATAAAGGGGATTACTTGAAAATATAAAAACTTATACTGGATCAACAAAAAGTTATGTTACTAAATAAACAAGTTTGATTGAATTGTACTTGCAATCCAAGAAGCTTGGTGGGGTGTACTATAACATGTCTATTTTTTCTTTGCCTGTAATGAAGTAGAACAGGATTTATAGTAGTTATGCATTTCAATGTCGTTGTTGTTAACCATATTTGTGAACCCAATGTGTGTCTAATTCTCAAGCAGTTTAGGCTGTTATATTGACCTGTATACATTAAACTCAGAATATGCTGCTTGGCTCTAACATGAACCTCCTTAGTTCCAACATGGAAGGTACTAACGGATGGAGCCACGACACTATTGTTTTAGCTTTACCCTATGATCGTTTGTCAATGTTTGTTCACAAACATTGGTTCTCGTTAGCTTTTAACACAACAGGTTGAGGGTCTATGGTACAATGGGTTACGCTAATCTCAAGCATTCGGTAATATTCGAAGTATGTTCGGAAGCGATAGACGAACCTCGCATGTACAATACTGAAAATGCTGTCTAGTTTGAATGCTGTTGTTTCCGGAGATTTTGGCGAACTTTAATGAAAAATTGGCAGATATAACATCGATTGAAGAACTGATGAACTATCGTGAATCTTTTTGTATTTGTAATGTTGATTAGACGTAATCAATGATTGCCTGTGACAATAACAATTGCATTATTCAATGGTACCATTGTCATTGCGTGGGTTTGACGCCCAAAACTATTGACATTTTCGACCAACCGGGCATCGGCGAACACCACCAGAAAAGATAGTATCGAAAGAAGGGCATGCCGAGACACTTTCTCTGTGATAATATTTTTTAGGAGTCCTTAGGAATTTTTGTTGTAGACACTCGAAACCCTGTTTTTGTTACAGTTACTAATAATTAAAACATGTGAAATCTGTGAAGTCAAACGTTCATCTGTTGAATTTCCGGTTGTGAAATACGTACCTTTCACACCTAAGCAAACCGAGTGCGCATGTATGATGACCGTAGTTTCATAATTCGCATACATTTTATGGTCACATTTAAAAATCGGCACGGTTATGTCATATTCTGCTCACTCTTTACTTGTGTAAACAATCGCAAACTATCATGGACATCAAAGATGAGCGAGACAATGTCCTCATCAGGATTAACTTGGGTTGAATCAAAAGAAAATAAGCCTATTAAGAAGCTTAAGTGGCCACCTCAGAGGCATCGTGGCTCCTTCCGTTTGTACCTTCCATGGTTCCAACAGGTTAATATTTATGTACTAGTATATTATTATGAAATTTTACTGGGGATTGTGTTAGCATTTCCATGTAGTAAATCCTGTGTGTCTTCATTATAAATGGAACCCATTAAAATAGGGGGTCCTTCTCTAATATAGAATTGTTAACTACTAGTGCTTGTTTGAAAAGACTGATAAATATGGTCAACCGAAACATCTATTTTATGATATATAAATATATAATAACAACACGTTATTAGAACATAGTGTACTTGACCTCTCAGTGATATACTGTCTTTGTTATATTGTAGTAACTTTCAACCACAGTATGCAAATTGAAGAGTAGTTTATTGTCTGTGTGTGTCATTTAATGACAATCATCATTGTCAAGGTTTCTACCTCATTGTTTCTATGGTTAATTTGGTTTGGTTTACCATGTATGTAAGAACACACACTAACTGAATAGAAGGTCCTATGATTGATTACCAATTTGGGGAATGATTTGTGCTTTGCCTTAGGTAAATAAAATGGTGACAAAGCTATAGAACCTATATAGAAAATGGTAGCAGGTGATTGTAATAAGTGTTTGTTCATTCACTCTGGCGTGTTGCGTGAAAGATGTGGAGGGAACATCTAGCTGCTGCAAAAATCAAAAGATTTGATTTTGAACTTGAATTTCTTTCTTTATAGTTCACTGTCAAATGTTATTTTGTTTGAAGGGAGTAAAGCATTGAAATACACTTTCTTCATCATAATTGATCATCAAATGTGTATGGCATAATTCTGTTTTTTGAAACTTTGATATATTATTCATCTGTAACCATGAAATGAATAATAGTCATCAGAATGTTTCATCTAACAAATATTGCTTGAGTTGCGTATGCCTTCTCTGCTGTCATTTATGAAATAATGTCAAATATAAACAAATTGGCTGTTGCATCAGATTCATGGCCGGTAGACCCAAGTTCAAATCCTACCTTAGGCTGCACATCAAAAGGGTCGACCCCTACACTGGATGAGTGTGCCACAGACTCAATGGCCAATTCCACTGGCTGAGATACATTGACTGATGAATGCGACTTGGGGGGGGGGGGGACTTGGTTAATGGATTCTGGTGAAAGGTTGAGCTCCTCTTGTGACCAATCAAAATGCATTGAATGCTTGTTAATTCTCGCTGAGTTGTTTTGTCGTAACTGACAGGCATGCTGGATATACATGTATATAGAGGGATATGTGATGAAAAACTACATGAACATAAGTTTTGATACAATATTCTAGTTCCTGCATTAAGTGCCTGTATAGTTATGCATGTATCCAACAATGTATGAAGCATGGCATATATATAGCAATATAGCATGCATGCATCAAGAATTGGATGTCTAGCGTCAGTATCTTCTAACTCACGTGAAGGCAGATAATCATGACCAGATATGTGGGTGTTGCACTGAAACATCTCGGCTACAAGTTGCATATTTATAATTTTCAAGGGCTTTTTTTTTTTTATAGAAAATAGACCTATGAGAAACTAGCAGCCTGTCGGCTGAGATAGCTCCACTGTTATCAATGCACATTTCAATTAAAGAACTGAAGATATCATCACAAAATGAACAACATGTATAGTATTAAAGCAATCAGACTTGCTGTTTTCAACAAAGATTTGAAAATATAACTTTTTATCAACAATATTCATTAAAATTAGATAATTGAAGAACAAAATCATCTCGAAATGAACAAATCTTAGAGAGGTCTACCTGTAGTACCTATGTAATATATATAATATCAAAGCAATTAGACTTGCTGTTTTTAACAAGAAGTCGAAAATATCACTTTTTACCAAAAATGACAAACATATTTATGAAAATTAGAGAATTAAAGATATCATGAAATAAACAAATCTGAGAGAGGTCCACATGTAGTACTAGTACTTACATATGTACATGTAATATCTAAACAATCGCACTTGCGGTTTTTAACAAGAAGTCGAAAATATCACTTTTTACCAAAAATGACAAAAATATTCATCAAAATTAGAGAATTGAAGATATCATCACAAAATGAACAAATCTGAGAGAGGACCAACCAAGGTACCTACATACCAAGTATCAAAGCATTTGGGCTAGCGGTTTTCAAGAAGAAGTCGAAAATAGCATTTTAACCAAACATGACAAAAATATTCGCTATAAATAAGACAATGGATCATATCCACACGAAATGAACAAATCTGAGAGAGAACCACCCAAGGTACCTTCCTAGAAAGTTCCACAGCTATACAGTTTGTGGTTTTTAAAAAGAAGTTGAAAATGTAAATTTGACGACGGCGACAACGAACAATCAGTAATACTATAAGCTCCGTTCGCCTTCTTCGACAGCGGAGCTAAAATTTAACCATTTTGTTGCACATCTGTCCACTCATTCTATGGTAGGCAATGCTCTTTCCCCACAAGAAAATATACAACAAACTTAATTCTTAATACATCGTTCCTATAAATTGCACTCTATATTGACATTATGACAGTATAGTACAGCAACAGTTTCTATTTTGTGTATTGAGGTATATGAAAACAATGAAACTATATAAAAGTATAATATTTAAACTCTTTACTTTATTGAACACACTAAACACTAGATACAAAAAAATAATTACACAGATATTTTAAGTATATATGAAAGAACCAACTGTATGAGAATCACTTTGATTTTACAGCAGGCAACATTAAATATGATTTTGTTTGCCATACACAATTTTTGTCATTTTAAATGTGCATGCACTTAGGAATTTTAAAATCATAGCAAAAGTAATAAAAAGCAGCAATTTACTAATTTACAAAATTCCAAAACTGCAGTGAAGTTGATATTAATACCAATACTTATATACAAAAGATGGGTTTCGTTTAAATGTTTAGTAAGATACATTTGTCTGAATCTGCTCTCTGAATAACAAAAAAACAATATATATAATGTCAACCCCTTTTTCCCCTTCTTGCCAATAAACATATAGCCCACATTATTTGCCAGATTCTTTGAAAAGTAAGTTATGGCTTGCAGTCAGTTTGGGGTTTCAGGCATGGTCGGGAAAAGATTTAGCACATGACCAACAACCTAAGGTGGTCACAGTCTCACATGCTTGTTGTTTGCTGTTACAATGAAAGAGAAGCATAATTGTTACTTGTAAGATTCTTGTCTACAATTAACATTTTAGGACACATTTCACAGGGATTCTGAATGCAACTAAATAATAGGGAAATTAGATTGAATTGATGGATGGTGGTCATGTGCTAGCAAAGTTATTTCTTTTATACAGCATAATTTTCTCATGTCTCTTGTCAAAAAAAAATCACATGAATGATGATACTTAATGTTGCGCATATTAGTCAGGGTATCTCCAGATGAGAATTGCACCATCAGCACTAACACTCACGATGTAATTTAAACAGGGACAAATCTTAACACGGGTGATGCTTCCACTGTGGCCCATACCAACATGTGTAACTGCGCCTTCATTGTACCCCCAAAGCTGTGAAAATAACAATTATAACATTGGTTAACAATACAGATTTACATAACTGCCAAGATGTTGGGCATCAGTATTTGGTTATTTTGTCAAGCATGAATGATAGTGAGCATACTACTCCTTATTTCAATAATATAATCCATTACCTTAATGATTTTATCGTCTCCTCCAGTCACAAAGTTCTTGCCATTACTTGAAATATCCATACCATTAATTGCACCTGACTGTGCACCATCTAATTCACGAATCTGAGAGCCATCAAATGTTTCCCAGTAACCAATCTAAAGGAGGAGAGCAATGAAACAAACTAAGTATAGCCTTAAGGTAGCGAGACTATTATTTGTGTTGAAAATTAGATTTTCACATTTATTTATTAATTGATGAAATGCACTATAAACTTTCATATGATAAAGTCAACATAACATAGAATGTCATGTAAGTTGGTTAAAATGTAGATTTTCTGAAGGAAAGCAAGGCAGCCTCAGTATCAACAACACAGGTTTAATCTGTGTGCCTACAAGTTTCAAAGATAAACTCAAGACAAAGCAATGTTAGGATGTGTTATCAGTAGTTATCTGACACACAATGAGTGTTTCCAAACATTTGAGTGGTTTGTCTCCGCCCCTGTTTGTTTCACAGATTAGTCGTTTGCATATGAATGTGTCAGACACAAGGTCACACAGCCACTGAAAAAAATCATTGATTTTGGTGTTTTCATATGCCGAATTTATCCAAATATAGCTATCCCATTCCTTTATTTTTTTGGTTTCCAATAGCCTTACACATTTGGATGTCCCCACACATGTTAAAACAGACCTTGATGGGAAAACAAATTGATTGTGCCGATAAACAAGCTTGAAAATCTTTGCTGTGACTTCATGGACGTTTTCTAGGAGTTTATGTTTTTCAAAATACAAGGTCTTTAACAAAAAATAACGTATACTTATTGTCATCGGATTAACACCAAATTTTCACAGCTTTAAGGTGACAATGAGAGGAACTTGAATGTGTCCAGACAAACTATTTCATCGATTATTTACCAACGAGTTGTGGTTTGAGTTGGGGGCAATGCGACTAAAACAGTAATTGAAATTCAGCACACTATTTTTTTAAAACGCGTTGCTTGAATAAAACTGACCAGACACATTCAATTTACCAGACTATTGAACAACTAGGAAAAGTGAAAAAAATACTTCTTACCGCCAGCATAAATGCGTAATTATTTTTTTTACAGAAAAAGTAATTTTTCACCTTTGATTGAGTAACGCGTCGTAGAATGCAGATACGGGCATGCAAAATACACTTGTGAAAAGCTTGAAGTCTGGCGATTCTAAAAATATATACTTTCCCGGGTCTATTTGTAGTCATTCAGTCACAATTAGAAGATGACAACAAGTATGCAAATAATAGTCCCGCTACCTTAATTAGCCCAAAATCTAATATAAGTCTTAAGTTTTGTGAAAAGATGGTGTAATTAAAGAGTTTAGATTATCAAGTAACAAACCTTTCGATCTGACCCACTGGTGACAATTTGGAATTCTTCAGGATGATAACACACACACTTGAACAATGTGTTTGCAAAGATGACTTGTTTACGCAAAAAGTTCCTGTAAAAACAGAGGAAAAATGATTAAATAATAATCTGATGATTTCAATAAAAACCTAATTATTATATTAACAACATTGACATTTACAAGCTAAAAAATGTAACTCTTTCTTTATGGTACTATTACGACAACATCTATTTTATTTTATTCACTGGCAAATATATACAGCTATGAATTCCTTTGTATACTTCCCTCTTTATTCATGTGACTACTGAAAACTGACCACCCTCTGGTAAATAGGAACATTGATTGTACTTACTGCAAATCCCAGATAATACATGTGCCATCTTCACTTGCACTCACACATTCTGCAACTGTTTTGCGCAGTCTTATACATGCAACTTTTCCCTTGTGTTCTTTCATTGCTGTCACCAATTTCTGTTCTTTTTCATGAATGTCCCAGATACGTAGTTGACCTTCACTGCCACCACTGACTATACGCCGGCAATCAGAAGTAGTAGCCAAAGCCGTGACACCTTTGTTATGAGCATCATGGATCACATACATTAGTTTTCCAGATTCAGGATAGAAAGCTCTGATTTTACCATCATCCCAGGCTAAAAAAGAAAACACATTGGAAATAATTTGAAATTTGTTTATAAATGAAAGCAAATGCATTATCAAATAAAGCACTGTTAAATGTAAAAATGTTTGCGAGTCAGGAAAATAAAAAAAAAATGTTCAAGAGATTTACTTCTCACAAACACTCTTTTAAACCAGTGAAAGTTTACCAGTTTACTGTATACTGTAATCTAGTTTTGCTTATTAGTATATTTAAGTATAGTCCACTGACAGTAAGTGGAATTTATCAAAATTATATATCATCTGGGGAGACAACTTTCAAATTTCACCAGCTCTACCAGAAAGTTAACAGCCATGCATTAAAAATTATTTTGAAATACCTCAATTCCCATTCCAAATAAGCACCACAAAAACTCAACCTTCCACTGACACATACAACCAATAATTTAATGTATGTTTAATACTGTGCGTTAAAGGACTTTAGTGGCCTTTCTGTGACAGCACCCTAATTGTCCTAAGCTGTCTTACATGTTATAGCGCCCTCACAGCCCTAGGTGACAGGTTGACATATCTTTCGTTTATTAACGTATGCATGTCGTCTGTGCATGCGTTTTTCAGGCTGTACTTTTGATACCCACCATCCCACCCTGGATCACTTACTAATGACAATACACTTTAGTTGTATAAGTATCTGTCGGGCACCTCTTTCCATTTATTGCTTTGTAGTTTTACCATTTTTCATATGGGTGTCTTTTCTCAGCCCATATGTTTCTGATTAAAGGGACTGAGCTGCCCATTATGCCCAACAGTACTGTGTATGTGTCTTGTGTTTTGGTAAGCCACTAAATTTCCATTATGATGTTCATCTTCATTCAATAATTTTACTCAACTTGCATTTCAAATATTTCATTGAAGTAAATCATAAAAATGTTATTACCAGACCAACAAGCATGTATGTTTTGATTTTTAGCAGCCTGACTGAAAATTTAACCATCTTGGGAGTGTGGGCAAGCAGAAATTTAAAACACTGGTATAGCCACTAAAGCTTTTAATACAGAAAACATAGTTTACTGTATGCCCCTGACTGAATTTTAGTGAAGACTGCCCTCACACATGAAGTGTTACAGTTTATCATGCAGTGCACTGCACATTCAAACTGAACATTGCAGAGGACCCATAAGAACACACACACATGGTGTAATGACTGACAATGGTCCTTCAACACATTGCCTGCCCATGCCATTCTGTAATGTATGTCATGAGTTACTTACCACTAACAATACTACTACCATTTTCCATGATGTCAATACCATTACATGTCAAGTTTGGGACAGTGATTCGTAGTCTTTCAGCTCCTGTTGTCGTTGACCAAATACGAATATCATTTTTAGAACAGGTGGCAAACAACTGAGATGCTCCCCTGTAATGTAAGATAAGGGAAAACAACCATCACTACATAAGTCTAATCACAAAAATGTATAGCAGAAAAAGCATGATGATGTAGTTTCATTGGTTTATATTCTGAGAGCACCGAAAACGCGATAATGTACACTTGGAGACATCTACAGAAAATAAATATTGGGTTCAGTGTTAAATGTTTTATCATCCTAAAAATATACAGTTATGCACCAATGTACAAAATATACATTTGTACTTGTGCTATAGAAGTGTAATACTTACGCTGGGAATGTAACATCAAGTACATCAGAGTAATGACATGTTTTGACCAAGTCAAATGTGAATTCTCCCAGGTTACATTGGTATAATTCTGCAAGGCTAGTACCAACAAAAAACTGAAAAACAAATATTTATTTTTAATACAAAATAGCTAATAATGATCCAATCTTTAGATTATTTAACAATTGTTTGTATAAAATGGTATTTTCATGGATATAACAAGGCACTTTCCATTTCAAGTGGAGTGTGAGTTAATTTGTGTCATGTGTATTACATGTGAAAAGGTAATATTTCATGAGAAAATAGGATGATTTAAAATGTGGATGTCTCACAGTTCGAAAAAGCATGTATGGCATGTTGCTATGCCATGAAGAAAATGACATTGGTCGCCAAACCTTGAATAGAATTAGTAGCTACCAGTAAAGCCTAAGATGGATTTTGTATAAACTTCTTTTATAAAAGTTGTGAGGCGCATGTATTGTATACAGCAACAGGTTGTGTTCTTGTACAAAAGAATATTTGATCATCTAGTGTTAAACAAATGATTTCTGCACTTTTGCATAGACTCACATTTTCAGTATAGCTGATATAGATAAAATGCAACTGTAAGATGATAATTAAATGTTATGAATTCAGTGAACACAAATGTCTTACCTGATGTCCTAAGCCTCTCAAAGCAATTGATGTTACTCCTCCAGTCACTTTACTAATCCTAGGACACAAGTTGTTGTATACTTGATTATTAAAAATGACTTAGTTTATCCACAGACAAATCAATGTCATTTATTTACATGAGGTACTATGTGCAACAAAACAAAAGTGAAACCTGTGGTATGTATTTCTTGTTTGCACACAGCAAGCTGTGATTATACTCAATATTAATGTTCCAATTGTATATCTGGGAAATACACATTGAGTACATGCATACAACAAATATTACACTTGAAATACATTATTAGCAGTACACTTGATTCAGTACAAACCCTCTTTACAACACTAAGCTTGCTTTAAATTGGGGGTGTGGGGGGGGGTTATACACACACATCTGCATTTTAATATACAAAAACATTTCAGTAATCATATTTTTCACATACTAAATAGTACAAAAAAGTCACACATTTTTTTGCAGAAATAATGAAAAAATAAGATTTGTTTCTTTCTAGTATTAGGTACAATTCAAACCACTCACTTTTTTCTTTTGAGTGTCTTACGTACAAGAGCAACAGTTCCATCACCAGCACCTACAATAATTTCTTCAGACTTGAGAAGACCTATTGCCATAATACCAAGACTAAATTTCTCCTTGACAGGTCCATATTCTGCCATTATACACGTGTTTACTCCGACTTTCAGTATGTCACCACTGGTGGTTCCACAGTAGATAAATTCATCTGCCTCATCTATCTGAAAATACAATGAGTACACCAATTAGTTGATGACAAACCACAACCTAATCTGGGTAGCTCCTGACTTCATTATACAGCATATTTTGCTTATCTAATTAATGAAATAGACATTAATTATATAAGCAGCATATTTGTGTGAAAGGTTCTGTCACTTGCCCTAGTTGTCCACTATATCTTACCTCAATACATTTAACTATACGCTTAAGTTGCCCCATTCGGACATCAGTTGGGCGAATTTTTCTGTTTGATAGGTCCAATTTCCACTTTCTTAATGTACCACTGAGAAGAAGGAAACAAAAAAACAAAAGCAAACAGTCAGTAAGGTGTCACATCACAATCAAGAGGTTTATTTCTGTTTAACAATGTTCCTCTGCTTTTCTTGACAACTACAACATTTCCTCTATAAGATGAAAATCTAAACAGAAACACAAGATTACATATATTTCATTCAGATTTACATCCATCTATCATTTCATCCAATTAGGCAGAGTCTATGATGGG